GTAGAGGTGGGGACATGGCCAAACAAGGACGGGCAAAATCAAGGAATATGGTGTGTATAGAGAACAGCATTAGAGGGTTTTTTGTCTCCAGGAGCGGGTGGGTTAATGGCAGTGACCATCACCATGGCCTCTGTATGGGGGACAAAAAGGATCATCATTAAGGTGTAATGCCAGGTTTTGAGGGCAGAATGCACAGTGTGAAAGTTCAATGTGGTGGGTCTCCACACAGAAGCAAAAAGGGTAAAATTGGGCCTTTAGGGTAGTGTTGAGCAATAGGGGACATGAATGTGCAGGTGTAATCTGGTGACCAGTTGGAGGACAGTGTGGTGTCTGATGTGAAGTGCTACTAGAAAAATGCCGGGAGAATGCCCACAGTCGGTGGAGTGAGTGTTAGTTTGATTGGCAGAAACACAGGATCAACATTTGCTGGGCACTAGGACACTGAAACAACACATATATGAAGTAGCTGTTTGCAATGCCCAGCTATGTTTAATTTGCAATCATTTCATTTCCCATTTGCCATGCACGCAGAGGAAAACGTGCTTAGGGATCAGATGTATTTGCACCATGTCACCAGAGCTTGCAAGTTAAACTCAGGAAACTCAATGATTTTGAAGTTGGCAACATGATATTCCAAATAGCCAGTGTTTGGCGATGGGACCCATTATTTGTGCAATTTCCAAGGGTCCTGTGCAAGCCACACGACATGATTTCATCATCTGTCACATACGTGAGTGTAATGATAGTATGTACTGAATGCAATGAGCTGTTGCGTCTTAGATGCGAGTCTGGCATAGGAGGGGTGTCAGAATGCTTTAGGCATTCCCTCTTCAATGACATGTGGTAGTCTGTCAGCCAGCACAACCCCTTCACCAAGTTGGTGCACAGGCTGATCCCAATATGGATGGACGATGGAAACAGGCCCCTTGTAATCAGGGTGCAGCATGTCTCATTGTATATTAATGATTTGAAGGAAGGAAGTGAATATACTGTAGCCAGCATTGCAGGTAATACTAAAATAGGTTGAAAGGCAGGTTGTGAGAGGGATACAAACAGTTTCTGTAGAGATACTGTTTGGTTAAGTAAGTAGGCTAAAACTTGGCAAATGGAGTTACATGTGAAAATGCAAATTGTTCATTTTGGAAGGGACAATAAAAGAACAGAATACTGTGTAAATGGGGAGAAACTGTAGAAAGCTGCAACACAAAGGGACTTGGAGGCACTTGTACGTGAAACACAGAAAGCTAACACACAGGTACAGCAGGTAATCAGGAAGGCTAACGGAATGTTGGAACTTATCTTAAGGGGGTTGGAGTACAAGAGTAGGGAAGTCTTACTCCAACATACATGATACTGGTGAGGCCACAGCTGGAGTACTGTGAGCAGTTTTAGTTCCTTTGTTTAAGGAAAGTTATTTCATTGGAAGCAGTTCAAAGAAAGTTCATCAGGATGACCCTCAGTACGGAGGGATTGTCTTTTGAGGAAAGTCTAAACAGACACTTTGTTCATTGGAGTTTTGAAGAATGAGAAGTGATCTAATCAAGACATATAAGTTTCTTAAGGGTAGGAGTTCTGAAGAAGGGTCCTGACCCGAAACATCGACTTTCCTACTCGTCTGGTGCTGCCTGACCTGCTGTGTTCAGCCAGCTCCAAACTGTGTTGACTCTGAGGTCATTATTGTTTTTCCCTCTTGTTGGTTCCCTCACTACCTGCTGCAGACCCAGTTTAGGGCATGACCAGCTCACTCAGTAATACTGCTGCCGAGCAACTCTTGGCGGTGGACATTGAAATCCCCCACCCAGAGTACATTTTGTGCCGTTGCCATCCTCTGAGTTTCTGAAAGTGTTGTTCAATACGGGGGATTCATCAGCTGAGGGAGGATGGTACATGGTAGCAGCAGGAGGTTTCTTTGCCCATGTTTAACCTGAAGCGACAAGACTTCATGGGGTTCCGAGTTAATATTGAGGACTTCCAGTGCAACTTCCCCTGACTGTAATAACACAGTGCCATCACCTCTGCCGGGTCTGTCCCACCAGCGGGACAGGACATATCCAGGGAAGGTCAAGGTATGATTCCGTGAGTATGACAATGTCAGACATTTGCTTGACTAGTCTGTTGATGATGGCAGAGCGGTTGACGTTGCTTATTTGAATTTTAGTAAAGCCTTTGACAAGGTTCCGCATAGTAGATTAATTTGTAAAGTTATGTCACATGGGATTCAGGCTGAGCTTGCCAATTGGATACATAATCAACTTAACAGTAAGAAGCAAAGAGTAATGGTGGAGAGTTGCTTTTTGGACTTGAGGCCTGTGACCAGCGGTGTTCCACAGGGATCGGTTCTGGGTCCTCTTTTCTTTGTCATTTATATAAATGATTTGGATGAGAATATAAAAGGCATGGTTAGTAAGTTTCCGCTGACACCAGAGTTGGTGGCATTGTAGACATTGAAGAAGGTTTTCTAAGATTACAAAGGGATTTTGATCAAAAAGATCAATGGGCTGAAAAATGGCAGATGGGGTTCAATCTGGATAAATATGAGGCATTGCATTTTGGTACAACATACAAGGGTAGGGCTTATATTATTAATGGTAGAGCCTTGGGAAGTGTTGTAGAACGGAGGGACCTCAGGGTGCAGGTACATAATTCTTTAAAGTTTACATATAGATAGGATGGTTAGAAAGGCATTTGGCATGCTTGTTTCATTGCTCAGTCCTTCCAGGATAGGAGTTGGGACGTTACGTTGAGGTTGTATAGGACATTGGTGAGGCCTCTTGTGCAGTACTGTGTCCAGTTCTGGACAGCCAGTTATAGGAATGATATCAAGCTGGAGAGGGTTCAGAAGAGATTTACCAGGATGTTGGCAAGTATGGAAGGTTTGAGTTATACAGAAAGGCTGAATAGGCTGGGACTTTTTTCACTGGAATATAGGAGGTTGAGAAGTGACCTGATCGAATTTAAAATAATGAGAGATGTAGATAGAGTTGTGGTGGTTGTCTTTTCCCTCAGATGGGAAATTTCAAGACTAGGGTTCACATTTTTAAGGTGAGAGGAGAAAGATTTAAAAAAGACATGAGGCAAATGTTTTACACCGGACGGTTTGCGTGTGCAATGAACTTCTTGAGGAAGTGGTAGATGCGGGTACAACTACAATGTTTAAAAGACATTTGTTTTGATATATGAACAGGAAAAGTTTGGAGACACATGAGCCAGGAGCAGGCAGGTGGGACAAGTTTAGTTTGGGATTATGTTCGGCATGGACTGATTGGACTGAAGGGTCTGTTTCTGCGCTGTATAACTCGATGACAGCTCTTCCAAGTTTGGCTCTAGTCCCCAGATGTTAGTAAGGAGTACTTTTCAGGGTCGGCAGGACTGTTTCTACCATTGTCAGTTCTGGTACCTCGGGTGATGCCAGGTAATCTGTCTGGTTTCATTTCGTTGAGTCTTTGTAGCAATTCATACAACTGAATGGTTTGCTAGGCCATTTCAAAGGGCAACTGAGAGTCAGCCACATTGCTGTGGATCTGGAGTCCATTGTGGACTAGACCAGGTGAGGATGGCAGATTTTCTTCCCTGAAGGACGTTAGTGAACCCAGATGGATTTTTCCAACAAGCGACAATCATTTCATGGTGATCAGTAGATTCTTAATTTTGGATTCTTTTTTTATTTAATTAAAATTCCACCTGCCATGGTGAGATTCGAACCCGGGTCCCCAGAAGATTAGCTGATTATCTGGATTAATAGTCTAGCCATCGCCTAGTGGCATTATCCCTAGGAAGTAAGGGGAAAATGGCACTATAGATGCAAAATTGACTCAGTGACATAAAGCAATGAGTGGTGGCAGAAGAAAAGTATATTTCAGAATATAAGGTGGTTTGCAGCAGTTTTTCCAACAATTAATTTTGGATGGATTACTCTTGAAAATGTTTATAAAAGATTTATATCTGCTACAGGGAACACATTGTGAAATTTGCAGATGATACAAAACTTGGTAAAGTCGTAGATCATGATGAGGATTGTTATAGATGTCAAGATGACAGAAAGAATGGTGAAATGGGCAGGGCAAATAAAGTTTGGTAGTGATAGCTGTGAAGGTATATACTTTGAAAGCACTAATCTTGAAAGACAGCATATTATAAATGGCACCATTCTGAAAAGAGCCAATGAGACGAGACACTTGGTATCTGTTCACACAAATTCTTCAAGATGGCCATGCAAGTTCATAAGGACATTTATAAAAACATATGGGTTACTTGTATCCCTTTTAGTTTACAAATCTAAATGCAAAGACATCATCATGCTGGAAATTTATAAGTGTCTGGGTAGGCCTCAGTTGGAGTGGTGATTTTAATTACCACACTTCAGGAAAGATGCAAAGACCTTAGAAAGATTGTACAATGAGTATAGCAAAATGTAAACAAAGATGGGGGATTCAGTTCTGAGGAGAGGTTGGAAAAATTAGGACTGTTGTGCTAGGAACAGTGAAGGTTAAGAGGTGAACCTCCGAAGCCTTCATGATGAGAGAGGTTACAATAGAGCAGATAGAGAACAATTATTCTCTCTTTTGCACAGGCCTAAAACTAGAGGTCATAGATGATTTCATTAACAAAAGATTTTGAAGGGAGATGAGAAGACACTTTTTCACTCAGCTTTGTCGGGTTCTGGAACATTGCCCCTGAAAAGGTGGTGACAGTTTATTCTATGAATAATTTTAGAAGGGAGTTGGATTGTACTTGTAAATAAGAAAATGACAGGGTTACAGACAAACAAGCATGAGTGCTCTTCAAAGTGGAAGCACAGACATAATGTGCTGAATGGCCTCACTCTAAGCTTTGAGTTTCTGTGATTCCAAGAAGGCACAGTTCACTCCATGCCATTACAGCCATTAACATAGGAAAAAAAAAACCTTTACTGGATAAACTAGTTTTCCTTTTAGAAGACTAAAATATTGATTTCAATTTCTTTTGTAACTGTAATAGTTTTGAGCACTTAGCCACCAGACCTGGATCAAGCTTGCTGCAGGATTTCTTCTTTTCTCAAAATGCTTTTGACGATGCTGCTCCTGAACTTTAAGAGCCAGCCCAGAGCCCAGAATGCCCTTATTAAAGAAAAATAAACATTATGAAATGCTGCAAATAGAAAAGAAATCAAGCCTAAAATCAATTGTGCACTTAATAAGATGTTTCAGTCACTCTGCATTTGTATAAAAGCTCAAAACATATTAAACACAAATCCTTTTATGCAATGTAACCACAATAAATATTATTTCGACCCGTTGAGTGGTGATGAATATGACTGAGATCACAGAAATTAATTCATAATTAATTACCCCATGAAATCAAGTAACTGCCATAGTAAGATACTCAAAGACCTGGAGGTTAAAGTTCATTTTCACTGCAGGGCTTGTAATCCCATACAGATGATTGCTATAGAACCTATTCTCTTCCACCATTCAAATACATCATGGCTATAGATATATTGGTGTAGATTTTCGTGGAGTTGGGACAATTCAGGAGCCCTTGAAAAATGACAGGTAACCTCCTGACCCCATTCCCAGGCTTTTGGATTTTCAGAAGTGCTTTTTATGGGCGTGAACTGGTTCAGGTCATAAGCCCACACTTGACATTCCCAACTCCATGGCCTATTCATGGAGTCAGGCCAGCTTTTTAAAGAGCTGCAGTTCACCGCAGAGGTCTAATGAAGTGTTGCCTATATAAGGGAACCTGAAGGGCCGTGGGTGTATTTGGGGACTGTAATGTTGTACGAGGTGTATGGGGGTGAGAGGAGAGGCATAGCCTGGCATGGGAGTACATGAGAGACCATGGGGTTATTCACAGAGGCTCAGCACGGCTATGGAAAGCAGCTGGAGGGGCATAGCCTACTGTGGAAGTCACAAGGACCATAAAGTTTATTTGCAGAGGTACACCTTGGCATGGGAGTGGTGTGAATGGATAGGAGATTTGTTTGGATAGCATAGCCTGACATAGGGAGCTGAGTTGTTGGGGATACGACCAAGCATGGATGGGACAAGGGGAGTGGATGGAGTCTGAAGGGCTGTGAACAGCAATGGACAAGGGGTCTTTCTATTCTTATTTTCACTAGAATGAAGTCCTACAGTACTGTTAACTCCGTGACCGACAGCATCGCACCCTCTCATACTAGCACCCTCTCACCCTCCTTCTCATTTGGCTGGGCTAAGCCAAGGGTTTTCCAACTTCCAGTACTTGTGTCATGGATGAAAATCCAATTTAATTCACCTACCTTTGCTCCAAAATCCAAGTTACCCCAACTGAACAAAAGTCGATTGATGTCTTCTTTACAAAAATCAATAAACCCAGCATCCACAGGCTTTAGGGGAGTGAATTTCAGCTTTTCACTACTTCGTGGATGAAGAAGTGTTTTCCCATTTCGTTCCTGAATTGCATACCTCAAACTTAAATGATGCCCACCAGAAGAAATATCTTCTTCCTGTATCTATCATATTAAATCTTTTTATTACTTGCTTCAAAACTTCAATTAGCTCAACACTCAGCTTTCCTAACCCAAAGGAGCAGAAAATAACTCATAAAAACTAGCCTCCTGACCTTTTAAGTCTCAGTGTCATACAACTGTTTCTTCCAGCTAATTCTTATAAAATATCATAAATGTTTTGATGGGACACAGTATATGTAAAAAATGCATGAGATTTTAATTAATATCTGACTTCTGATTAGTGCTACTTATTTCCTCCGCAATGAACCGTTTCCTGTTTCTCCTGTTTCAAGTTTCTCCTGCACTGCTTCCTTTAACCTATCAGCAGCTAGTAATCTCAGTATTTCCACATGATGGTGCTATAGCACAGGACATTATAAATTTCCGTGCCACAAGTTTAAAAAACGTGAAAATGCTGGTAATCTGGATTAAAACAGGAATGGGAAAAAAATGACGCAACCTACCATCATCTGAAAAGATTTTTTAAAAATTTGGGGGTCTTGGTCAGTGGAGGATAAATGAGATCTTAAGAATCGTGAATACAATTTAATAACAGGAGAACAATGAAAAATCATGAGGCAAGAATGCTGGCTTCTGTCACTAAGAAGCAGTGAATGCATTTTAATGGAGAATAGTAGTTTTTCAAAAAGCTGCAAGTGGTGAGGTGATGAAAGGTGTTAAAAGGGTTTCAAATTAGCCTTGTATAAAATTTTAGATTTCACTCTTAATATGACAAAACAACAAGGGTGAGAAATGGCCAACCATCAAAGCTCGTTACTTTTGCACTCAATTCTCTCATTATGCCAATGTGTTTAGACATCTCCAATGTTTTTGTTTGTTATATCAGCTTGACAGATTATCCTGAGTATTGAATAACTTTCAAGTCCTTCTTGACATCTAAATGTATGGAGTAATTGTTTCCTGGACTGCTTACCTCAATCCAGTATTGAATGAGCAGAAATGTCTTCAAATTAAACACTAAAGGCTGAAGGTTTATTCCCTACTCCAAAGTACAAATTACATCTCTCACCCTGAGCTTCTGACCATGTTCCTGTCATCCATAAGATTACCTATCCCCAAGAGTGAGAAACAGTGTCCAAGTACATTCCTGCCTTAACTGGTCTGCTGTTGAAACGTTCATTCGTACCGCAGTCACCTCTACACTTGACATTTCCAATGCATTCTTGATTGGTCACTTTTATCTTCCTTAAACTTGAGGGCATCTATAACTCTGCTGCACAGGATTATTAACATCAAGTCCTGTTGACCGATGGTTTACGGTGAATTCTGGTAAAACAACAGGCTAAATTCAAAATTCTAATCATTGTTTTCAAATCCATCTATGGCCTCATCTTTCCCCACCTCTAATCTCCAGCCCCATGACTTTCTAATTCTGGCCTCTTGACCATCCTCAATTTTAAATGCTCCAACATTGGTGTCCATACTTCCAGTTACCTAAGCCCTAAGCTCTGGAATACCTACCCACACTTCCTTGCATCTCCACCTCACTTTCTGCCTGTTCCTTAAAACCTATAATCTTTGACCATTGATAATCTGATCTAACACCTCCGAATACAGTTTGATGTTGTCTCTTATTTTATAATGCTGCTGTAACATTCCTTGGCTTATTTTATTAAGTTTAACGCACTAGGTAAATACAAATTGTTGCTACGAAATACTTTGAAATAATACTGGATTCCCTTTGTCTATAAATTTAATTTATATTCCTTGTTGCATTTCTCGTTTAAATGCTTACATGATGCTATATGGTATAGATTGAACTAATCAGATCATCATGACTGAAATAACTGTACAGAGGCTGGGTCCTCTCACCAAGTCACCCTTTATTTACTAGTGCAAGGTACACTGGCTGTGGCCAGCCAGCTTGGAGTCAGTCCTCAACTGAGGTGATTCTCATCTTCTGGTTAAATTAATTAGCCAAGGCTTTCTCAATTGGCCCAGGTTAACAACCGCAATCAAGAACTTAGTCAATGAGGTCCACCTGGTCCCAATCACTACATCCCTCCCCCCACCAAGTTCGGGGATGTAGGCATGGTCTTTCACTTGTGGCTTCTCTTGCAACATTTTCGCCCCAGGTCCAGTTCCTCTGACTCGGAAAAGGACACAGGCGGCATATGCTGGATTGTGGCCCGTCTCCTGCATCCAGAACGCGTCAGAAAGCGTTTCCTCCTCTTCTTCCGGCGTAACTGTATCGAAGTTGCATTTGTTTCGGACTCTGACGTTTCCTTGACACTAGACGGAGGGGGAGCACCTGTGGTTTCTGCCAGGCTCTCTGGCTGTTCTGAGGGGCCAGGTATGTTATGCTCCTGCTCAAATTGCGAGGTAACAGCTTTCAGGTCATCCACGTGTTTTTTCGGGACTGTATCACCGACCCAAACTTTGTAAGTCACGGGACCTGACCTCGTGTCAACCTCACTTTGTACCCATAAAGGGCCATTTGCATGGTTCCAGCACCAAACTGCTCTTTCCACAAGGCCATTGGAGAATGGGTGGTATGGAGCTGTCCTTACATGCCAAATGCCATAGGCTGTAGGAAATATTTGAATTCCCTGCTGGTAAATGATGTCCCATTGTCCATGACCAATACGTCTGGGAGTCCGTGTATCACGAATGATGTTGGCAGCTTTTCAATTGTCATCCCTGAGTTTACTGAACAAACTTTTGCACATCCAACCACTTTGAACGGGCATCCACAATGTCCAAGACTGTTGAGCCCATGAAAGGTCTGGCATAGTCAACAGGCAACCCAATCCAGGGTTCACCCAGTCATTCCCACGAATGTGGGGATGCTGTTGGTGGCAACTGTTGTCTTTGTTGGCACTCTGGGCACTGCCCCACCAACGCAGCTATGTTGGCATCCAAACATGGCCACCAGACATAGTCTCTTGCCAGCATCTTCATCTTGGAAACTCCTGGATGGCCCTGGTGGATTTCAGCCTGTATCTGGCAGCAACTCTTAGTTGGGACAATCACTCGTGCTCCCACAGTAATATAATGTCCTCTATAGTGATCTGGCCCAATAAGGTTCAATCCTAGTTGCAAAGGCCCTTCTGTCTCTCCCATTACCATCAGCTTTTTCAATTTTGCTAGGACAGGACCTTTTGAATCCATAGTTGGATTGTCTCAGTGCTGACTGGAAGGGTGTGCCGAAAGTTTAAAACCAAAACAGACTCTTCCAAGGGAGGGACCACCGAAAGAGCATCTGCCAGTCGTCGTAACCTCACCAAAACACCCATATATAGATTCTCCCGTTTCTCTAACAGCCAAATAAAACCAATAACGTCTCAGGATTAGAGAAGATTTGGGGTTGTAATATTCCTTAACCAATTCTGTCAACTCTTGGAAGGTCTGGTGCCTCTGGGAAAGTTAAGCCCCTTATAACTGAGAATGCTGAGGATCCACACACAGTCAGAAGGATTACTTGTTGCTTTTCCCTACCCCAATGTCATTTGCCTGGAAGAAATATCACATTCTTTCCACATGCTGGGCCCAGTCTTCAACAGCAGGGTAAAGTGAGTCAAGCTTCCCAAATATAGGCATGACACCAGAAATGCTAAACCCAAATCCAAGATGACAGTTGCAAGCGCATGTTCTTCAGGCACAACCTGTTTTCTCCCGTCACCACTGAAATATCTGTACAGAGGCTGGGTCCTCTCACCAAGTCACCCTTTATTTACTAATGCATAGCATACTGGCTCAGGCCAGCTAGCTCCGAGTCAGTCCTCAGCTGAGGAGATTCTCATCTCCGAGTTAAATTGGTCAGCCCAGGCTAACAACTGCAATCAGGAACCTCATAGTCAACGAGGTCCACCTGGTTCCAATCACTACAATGATTCATCTCATTCACTTAACATCTGTACCTCTTCTCATTCCTGAATGGTTTCCAGATATTGGTGATGAGTACTCTAACAGGTATAAAATTCTCAAAAAAAACAGCAATTTAGCAATGGCCAATCAGTTTGCAATCCTCACACATTTGTCCCACTGTTAAACTTATGGGCACTTTTTTTTTCCCAAATAAGGAATGGTGATCACTAATAATTCCTCCATGGATAATGATAATTTCAACAGGAAATTGTATGAAACCCAGAAGATAACGTCAAGACTCTGAAAACCATTCCGTGCTGTTTCTGCAGGAATTCTGGCAATCCCTTGTCCATTTTATAAGGGGAGAGAATGTTACTGGCATATAGGTGTCTTCACAGATATGTTAAGACACCTATCTGTGCTCTTTCAAGCATGACAGATGCCTGTGTTCTCATGAAAGCTTTTCTGACATGTAGACAGTCATAGGTGCTGTCTCCTAATCTCATCCAGAATAGGAAAAACATATCAGTTTTGCTTCTAATTTCCATCTCCTTTCATCTTCATGTAGTATGTCACTGGCTACAACCCTTCTTTGATTTCACTATTTCCATATTCTGGGTCAGACTGTCCACCAACTTCTAGTACAAACTCACTGACTCCCACAATTACTTGATGATCTTTCCTCACATTCTCCTTCCTGCAAGGATCCCATTCCATTCTATTTTTTTCTGACTCCATCACAACCATTCTGATGATGTCACCTTCCATAGGGGGTCTCCGACATCTTACTCTACTGATCCCCCACCCCACTGAGGTTGATAGGACCCATGGCCATGTTCTCACCCAGTTCCCACATTTCTGCCCCCACTTCCCCTCTATCAACAGCATAAAAAGCATTTTTCAGCCCCTTTCAGTTTTGAAGATGAGTCATATCAGTTTCAGAACATTAACTCTATTTCTCTCTCTGCAGATGCTGCCAGAGTTACTGAGTTTCTCAAATATTTTCTATTTTTATCTCAACTTCTAAAATACTCTGAAGTGAGACACTTGCTGAAACAACAAGGGTACCCTCATCTCTTCGAATTAAAATATAAATTTCACTCATTAAAGCAGTTAGGATTTTAACTGCCTCAACTAAAAAAAATGCATGATTCAAAACTAAGTGAACTAGAAAGCTTCATCTCCTCAGCCCTTTTCTCCTCTGTGAAAGTAATGTAATGATGTCAGCATCCTATTTTTAATTTCCAAATAAAAGCAAAATACTGCAGATGCTGGAAATCTGAAATAAGAACAGAAAATGCTGGAGAAACTCAGCAGATCTGGCAGCATCTGTGGAGAGGGTACCAGTCAATGTTTGAATTTTTGCATAACTCTTCTTAAGAATGTAAACTTTCTCCACAGATGCCATCAAGGCTTACTGAGTTCCAGCAGCATTTACTCCTTGTATTCCAATTTTTTTCAAGATTTGTGCTTGTGAACTCGGGGGAGGTCAGAAAAATTGGGTCCACAATGCAAATTTGGATATTGTACATCATTCAACATGAAAAAGATAGAAAACCAGACATTGTAGTACTTACAGCTGGCAAAGCAAAAAATGACACTCCTACAAGAGCAAACATTGCTGCTAAAAGACGACCCGCCCAAGTCTTTGGTGTCTTGTCACCGTAACCAATTGTAGTCAGTGTAATCTGTACAAAGAAAATCAAAGTTACTCAACCAGATTTGGATTGTTCCTGATAGTTGGTGCATAATAAACAATTGTGTTTCCTGCAGTAATCTCTGCTGAATTGAAAAAGAAAGCTGGAGATGCTGGAAATCTAAAATAAATAGCAAGTTCTATAAATAGTAAGGGTCACCATATTTACAAAGAAAGCAGGTGGCTTAACATTTTGGGCATATAGATGTTTCATTCGAACGAATGGGAATGCTTACAACCAAATTTAGTTTGAGTAACATCCTTGATTGTCCACTTATAGCCGTCAAACTTCTGAGAATTGCGGGAATGTTTGTGAGCTGCTTTCATTAAGCATCTTTTAGGCAGCTCAAAGGGCAGTGGTTTAATGCTGCCAGAATACCAGTTTACAAAGAGATTTGACAAATCCGTTCCTTACAGTTTAGTGTGAGCCACATCGGCCACAAACATTCCAAGCTGAATCAACACTTTGTGCTGGGTCCAAATGTTAGCGAGACACTGCTAAATCAGCTACAACTGGCCTTGAGCTCCACAGGTTAGGTGGAACATTTGGGCTTGGAAGCATTAATGTCAGGAACTGTGTGAATAGCACCTCTGATGCTGTAACAGGACTCATGACTGAGATACTTGGATGGAGAATGATTGTGGCTTCAGCGCAGTAAGATGGAGTAGGATTAGAACAGTTAAATGGTTGTTTTTGACCAGCAGAATTTCAATGGGCCTTTTTCTGTGCTGGAGACCTCAATGGCTCTATGATGTAGTCTCCAGAGATGTAGATGTTTCATCAATATATAATAAACCTGTTGCTGTTTGAACATGCAAATAAGTCAGTGATCATTCCGAAACTACACTAACTAACATACAGGAATGCCAGATCAGCCACGGTTCTGATTTCTGATCACTATCCAGTAATTCTTGCTATTAAGTACAAGTTAACTTACAATGATTGGCCAGAAGCTAGATGGGAAAGGAGGACAATTTTCTTCATAGAGTATTGTTAATATTTTGAATATTCTGTGATTGGGGTGGAATCAGATTCCATGGAAGTTTCAAAACAACTGGACAAGTACTTTAAGTGGACTACTTTTAAGATGGTACATAGACCGTTCTTTCAAAGAGTCAACAAGATATGATAGGCTGGATGGCCTCATTTTGTGGTGTCTGATTCTTTGAATGCCTATAATGAAGCCCATTGATAAAGTAGCTATTGAAAATTCACAATTTAGGCTATTCTGAATGCACTTTAGAAACAGAATGGAACATGCATGAGATATCAGCTGGCACAGGCACCACCAAACAAAATAGGGTGATAATTAGCAGGATTCCTGGGCAACCCAGAAATATCAGCAGACATACTGCCAAAATGTTCTTCAGACATTGGGGTGTGAAGAGAAGTATTACTTCTTTCCGTAGACTAGGATTTCCTATGTCATCACTAAAATTACAGCGACTTGGGAATGGGAGTTAATCCATCAATTCCTTGAATCTGTCCAAATGTACAGTAAAATAATGTCTTGACTTCATTCATCTGCCTTTGTCCCATACCGCTACATTAATTTTGCCAAACTAAAATGGTTCAATTGTGATCTTGAAATTTTCAATGACCCCTAGCCTCAGCAACTTTTTGGAAAAAGAGAAAGTTTCAGATTTCCATTACCCTTTGTGTGTAGCAGTACATACTGATACTGTCTCTGAATGGCCTGGCTCTGTGTTTTGAGATTGTGCACAATGTGTGATTGTGGATACCCACATTCCATTGTAGTTTCTCACCATCTACAATATCAAACTCATCTTAAACATCACAATTAGATAATTCCTCAATCTTACTCAATCGCACACAAGTCTAATTTACTCAACCTGTCCTTGTGATTTAACCATTCTAACATTGTTTCCTTCTGATGATTCTGTATTGCATGCCTTTGCCAATATTTTCTTCTTGAAGCGTGGTGCTCAGACCTGATAATCCCAATGCAGTTAACCATAGGTGAAAACAGTTGTTTGCTGTCGTCCTTCTCGATCCCAGTTTCTTAATATTACATTAGTCTTTCTTAACTTTTTCACTGGTTTTAGTGTTTTTAGTTCCTGAATGCTGAAATCTTCATAGTTCTTGGCTTCTTGCATTTTAGAAAGTATTTTCTAAGGTCCTAAGTGATATATCGTATATTGAACTCCAATTGCCACACTTTTGCCCACTCACTTAGTTCCTGATTTTCATCAGGATGAAGAACACTTCTGCCTTGGAATTTCCAAAACTGCTGAAATTTGCTAGAAACTGCAGGTCCTGCACACCTCTCTCCTACCTCAACCTGACCTCTCTCATTTTCACAGAGGCTGGCTTGGGAGCAGGCTGTGGTTCAGACGTACATGTTTCCTGAAGGCTGCTGGCTATTGATATGACCAGCTGACTCTTCTGAACTTGGAACCTCTGGAGTGCGGAACCTAAAGGATGAAGATGATTTGAAACACACATAGAGAATGCTATAGAAACTCAGCAGGTCTGGCAACTTTTGTCGAGACAGAAACAGAATTAATGTTTCAAGTTCAGGATGACCTCTTCAGATCTATACCAGATAAACCAAAGATTATACCAGGAAGGCAAGCCTGTGCTCAGTATATTTCTTTTGTATAGCTAGGATGCCCCTTTGGAGAGTTGGCTACTCCTAAGGATATGGTTCCAGGACAGCCTATGGTTGGGGGGTCAGGGATACTTTTGAGGTGTTGGTATTAGGCATCTTTTGGGTATGGTGTGGGTTGGGGGTGTGAGGCATCCTTTGGATGGAGGGTCAGGTGTTACTTGTATAGTTAACTGTGGAGAGGACTGTACATAGAAACTAGGAGCAGGAGTAGGCCATTCAGCCCTTTGAGCCTGCACTGCCATTCAATATGATCATGGCCCATCCTCTATCATCAATGCCATATTCCCATATGCCTTTCCAAACCCCTTGATAGCTTTAAAACTGAAATTATATCTATCAATGATGCATAATTCTCTTAGAACTGTGTAATTCATTGACATGTTAATAAATGTTAATGAGTCTCAAAATGTGGGGGTTACCATTACCCAGAAAAAGAACTAAATCAGCCATCTTAATACTCTGGCTACAAGACCAGAGAGTGGTTAGGGATTTTGCAATGAGTCATTCACTTCCTGACTCTTCAAAAACTATCCACTATCTACAAGGCACAAGTCAGGAACATGATACAATACTTTCCATTTTCCTACATGAGCACATCTCCAACAATACTCACGAGACCTGCCATTGTCCAGGACAAAGCAATCTGCATGACTGACAACCCATCAAAAAGCTTCAACATTGACTCCCTTCACCATCAAGGCATAGTGGCAGCTGCATTTACAAGATGCACTGCAACAAGTTATCTGGGCCCCTCAGACAGCCCCTTCCAAACCTGTGATCCCCACCACCTAGAACAAGGGGACCAGATACATGGGAACACCATCTCCTTCATGTTCCTTTCAAAGCCACACACCATCCTGACTTGGAAATATATCACCATTCTTTCACTGCTCCTGGGTCAAAACCTTTGAACTCCTCCCTGACAGCACCACGAGTCTACCTACACCGATTCTTTTTATATATATTCATTCAGGATGTGGGTGGTGGATGTCAATCGCTGGGCCAGTTTTTCGCATGGACTGTAGTAGTTCAAGAAGGCAGCTCAGCATCAACTCAAGGGCAACTGTGGATGTGCAATAAATGCAGACCAAGTCAGCAATGCTGATATTCCATAAATGAATATTGAGAAAACATGAATGACAGTGCTTCTCCCAAAAGAGTGTAACCTGCTGTATAGAAATTTACATATTAAGCTTTTTTTTCTTGTATAAGAGTATTTGTGGATTCTTCTGCAGTCCTTAGGGTATAGGGACACCCGCAGTATGTTAGGAAGGAAGTTCCTGAATTTTGACTCTGCGACAGTGAAAGAACAGCGACATATTTCTAGGTCAGGATAATGGAGGGAACCTATAGGTAATGGTGTTCCCATGTACAAGCTACTTTTGTCTTTCTGGGTAGTAGAAGCCACTGATTTGTAAGATGCTGTTACAGGACCATTGGTGAGTTGTTGTGGAACATCGAGTACATGGTACACGCTATGCGCTGGTGCGGAAGGCAGTGAATCTTCAGTGTGTTAGACATGGTGCCAATTAAATGGGTTGCTTTGTCTTGGATAGTGTTAAGTTTCTTGATTGTTATTGGAGTTATACCCATCCAGGATACTCAATAAGGTGGCATGGAGGGTGAAGGGGAAAGGGCGGCAGTGGAAGTAGATATTATGTTGGCATGACAAACAAGGGGCGATGAGGAATAGGCAGAGTGCGTTAGATTTCATGAATTGGTGTGCGGGCGGCTGGGAGAGTGATGAGGTGTGAATAGCATATGCTAGAGGAAGGCTTTATATTTTTCCTGTATTGGAGGAGTACCCCTTTGGATCTTGTCTTTAGTGTGGTAGGGCACTCTTTGAGATTGTGAAGGTGCACATGGAAAATAAGGAATTGTTATTGTGATAAAGCTGAGATTACCATGAAGGACTCTCATTCTCAAACTCTTCCCTCATCTGAGGCCTGGTGACCATCAAATTAAACCACCACCAATTGTCTCTCTCCAATGAGAGAGCAGCCCTATGGTCTGGTAAGACTATGGTGACTTTTACTGCAATATCATCGTATTGCATGGTGTATTGCATCAATGAGAGTGTGCTTTGTTTTCCAAGTGAAATCAAGAGATAGGAAACTTTATTTTCTGTCCAAAGACTGCTAATTAATACCCATGCCGGATGACACTTGATTTGGGACGAGTAAAGAGCAGCAGGTGGCAGATGAGTTGGTCCCAAATGACTGAGGGCAAATGTGGTGGCAGAAACCATGGTGGCTGCAGAGGCATGGGTTGGCATCGAGGCCATTGTGCAATGGGGACAGGTAGATGAGCAAAGGGTGGCATAGGTTATAACAGGCCACAGAGTTTGCTGCATGGCATATGGATGGAGCACAGTGAATGAGGTGGTGAGGGCAGGATTCTGTTCAAACCTTTAGCTTTAAAGTTTGCCTGCAGTGCCAGAGACACCAGGCAGGATACCAACCCAGCCCACCTTGGGAACAAGATAGCCTTATTAGATTGCTCCTGTCCAATTCCTGATATGCCTTGCTCCCTGAACAAAATCAGAAATGCAGGCAGCCATTTTTAAAAGTTCAAATTGTGGTACTGGGATTTCTAATGACTCCACAAACTCGCCCTTGAAATGAAAATCTGTGCCTTGGTTTCAGTAAAACGCACTCAGTTTTAGAAGCAATATAAAATTAATGGAAGAGTTACATTCAGAACGAGGGCATCAGGAATGAAAGGTTACCCTAAGGAAAAGATAATTGAGAAGATAGAAGGATTGCTCTATAGCTGAGAAAATTAGGGAACAGAGTGACAGTTTTTAAAAATTGTAAAAGAATATTACAATGTCAATACAGATTGTATTCATTGGTCAACAAGGCACCTGGGGCAACTCCTTCGCTGGCAACTGTGTGTTCAAATCCTACATGGTCTTGAACAGTTCAAAAAGCAGGCTCACCTCCAATCTCTTAAAGGCAGTTAGGATGGACATTAAATACTAGTCTTACCAGCGACACTCACATCCCATGAACAAATAACTTCATAAAACTCCAGTAAACTTCCACTGTCATGGCTGAAAAGTAGCAGTGGCAGCACTTACCAAACCCCACCACAATGCATCTGCATAGGTATTAAAGTCCTGTGTACTGTTTCTGGCATCATTATCGTCTTTTTCAACCAGGTAAACCAGGAACGAGGCCAGAATGAGTGACAGAAATCCTATGTACCAGGCAGTGATGAGTTCCTGACAAACATAGAAAAGATCTGTTATTTCCTTCATAGGTCATAAATACACAACGAAAACATAAAGAACTGCGGATGTTATAAATCAGGAACAAAAACAGAAGTTGCTGGAAAAGCTTAGCAGGTTCTGTGAAGAAAAAAATCAGTTAACGTTTCAGGTCCGGTGGCTCTTCCTCAGAACCATTTTTGTTTTTGTTCATAAATACACAATGCTCCACTCAACTGGAGGTGCTATCTTGAACTACTACAACATCAATCCACTCAATAACTCAAAAATGTTTATATGGACAAATTCCAATAGCACAGAATAAGCCTTAATACAGTCTTGTAATTTACTTTCCTTTCATTTTAGTAAGTGAGGGTGACAGGATGAGTCAGAATATTCTCTACGTTACACGACAGTAACTCGTTATTTGAAACTTTAAGTGACGATTTTATCAGGGCAAATTCACCTTCGTAGAATCACTGTCACCGTCCCTATATTTCATAGATATACACATCCTTGTTGGAAAATTTTAAAATCAAACTTTATCTCCAGTTGTGTATAGATGATGAGCAGAAAAAGTGCAGGCTACACTTCTTCACCGGAACCATTCTTCTCAATAACTTACAGGGTTTGATTTAATAATTCAATATTGTTTCCTGTACGGTGAAAGGGATAATGTCGTCACGCTCCAGCGCCATCTTGGATTACAGAATAAATTAATGAATAAATTGTACAAGTTGTAAAATACTGAATAAATTAATATTAAATTGATGTTACTGAAACAGGTTGAAAAGTTCATCTTTCTCTCTCTGTAGACTTCACGGTCTCTGCTCCTTAAGTTGACACTATCCGACATTCTCCCTGGGGTCCAGGTAACGGTCACACTGCGGGGTCGCATACCTCCTCCAACATTGGACATCGACCGACGGGTCCTGGCTTGTCTTCCGTCGCTGCCACCTGAGGTGGAGCAGGATTAGAGATATCTGGGGGCCCGGCATCCTGCAGGAGGAGGCCCCAGGGTAACTAGAACCAAACAGAAAAGTGACCGAGCTGGAAAGACAGTGATGAAGCTGTGTGGATCGGGCAGAACCCACCGCATGAGCCCATGAGTGGCCAAGCCCTGCACTCAGAAGCCTAATGCTGTGGTCCCCGCTGCCATCTTCAGTTACACTCTCCCATGATCCAGTCCAATTTCAGGAAGGATCACGGTGGAGAATAAGGGAAAATGCAATTCCCAACTGCCCTCTACACTCTTTACCTTGTGGCCCTTCTTCTCTGCCTGCTGTAAGTTGTGGCAGCCAGTGTAAGTTTTACTGTTTAATAACTCTATGGTGACCCCATACTGAGGGAAAGGGGGGGGAACAGAGGAAGGGGCTGAGACACTTTTATGGTGACTCTATCTTCCTCTATTTCACTCCAGCATTTACCCTCTGAAGACCCAGGATTTGGCTGAAGGCTTTAATTAGCTAATTAGTTTTGGAAGTGATTTTGCCTCTTTAATGTGATGCTTATTTTGTAACTATCGTCCACTATCATCAATATTTTATCTCCATAAAATATTGTGCCTTTTCTTGGTGATGGGAAACTAACCAGCAGCTGGCCTTGCACTGTTTCAATATTCATTCAGATATAGATGTTGCTGGTTAGGCGAGCACTTGTTAGAGATTTTCTCAGTCCTAGGAAACTACATGGGGCTCTGGCAGCTTAGTCAGTTGTGGTATTACTTTCATTACTGGAAACATTCCGGACAATAGTATTCACTGTTTAGTTTTTGGAATAATCCCTGAACACCTCTAAGATTAGTTAAACACTGTGTCAACAACACATTTCCAACATCTTGAAACTATATAATAGGTCCGGTTGTATATTAAAGGTCAGAGTCTCCATAGCAACATTCATGAGACAGATGGACTGCTGCAGTTCAAAAAGCTCACTCATAGGCACCTTCTCAAGGGTATTTTGGGATTATTAACAAATGTCGACTGTGCCAGCAATGCCCACATCCCATGAAAGAAAAAAAACCCTGACTCAGTTTGCAACTGGAGGCTCCACTGATGTTATTCCTGAAAATGTCACATGCACCATGTTGGACTACAGTTCTGCCTTGTCATCACACATGGCTGTACAGTACATCCAGGACAATCCTCCACAATCACTGCTGGATCTCATTAGGTGTCAACATTGTCAACAGCTTGTGTGTTAGTCACTCAACATGACTACGCATAGCTGCCACATACTGTCAACCATATCTGCAGACCCTGACAGACTTGGCAATAACTGAGGGGACCAGAGACTAGAAACTCTGAGGCAACAGGACGCAGTTACAGGGCTGTGCCATCTGCTGCAGAGTTTTTGCACCCATTATGAACTACAGGGGCAGCATAGCCAATGGCAATCCAGGTCAATGCCACAAGCAACATTTACTCCTCTGTTTCCTTCAAGATTTACAAAGGAATGCAGTGTCAAATCAGCCCACACTTGTCAAATAGGTGGCTGAGACAACAGCATGACCAACCCTGTACTCTTATCTACTTTGCTGTGTGTGACTCATGTGCTGAAATCTGGTTAAACTCAATAATTCCACCTTCACTGATCTGCTGATACTTACAAATGTTTCTGAGAAAGACTTCAAGTTTCCAATAACTGGGAGGTGGCTCAGTGGTTAGCACTGCTGCCTCACAGCGCCAGGGACCCGGGTTCAATTCCACCCTCAGGCAACTGTTTGTGTGGAGTTTGCACATTCTCCCCATGTCTGCGTGGGTTTCCTCCCACAGTCCAAAGATGTGCAGGTTAGGTGGATTGCCCATAGTGTTCAGGAAGAGGTGGGTTATTGGGTGATGGGTCTGGGTGGGATGGTCTGAGGTTTGGTGTGGACTTGTTGGGCTGAAGGGCCTGTTTCCACACTGTAGGGATTCTATGAAGAGCAAACTCTACAATTCCAGTTTTTGAATCCATATCATCACAAAGAGATCCCTTTACAAGACACAAGCTATGTGTGATAATCAACGTGTCATTGAATGTTTCACTGAAAGGAAGAATGAGAAAATGAATCAGACATGGGATGGTATTAGTGCTGACAATGGGATTCACTTTCACACTCTTATATTCAAGGATGTCTTGAACGGTCTCCTCTTGGAGAATCTATGACCTTCTGTGACAACCTTCAGTTTCTTCACTTATGAGCCATCGTGTCACTCTAGAAAAGAAATGATCTTTAAGGCCAATTTGCAAAAACTGCTGGCTGTCTGGCAGCCTGACCTCTACATTGCAGAGGTTCAGCGTCAGCTCTCGGATACCTCGTCCTATCTCTCCCTGGACTATGATCCCATGATGAAATATCTGACCATTGTGTCAACTTTGGTCACTGACCTAACTTCATCTGGTGATATCCCCCACCCCGCCCCCCAATCTCTCCAGGCTGATGGTAGCCAACCCTGCACAGCTTGCTTCTACCTCCTTCCCAAAATCCACAAACAGGACTGCCCAGGCAGACCCATTGTTTCTACCAGTTCCTGCCCCACAGAACTCATCTCTTCCTACCCTGACTCAGTCTTTTCTCCCTTGGTCCAGTCCCTGCCCACTTTACAACATTCCCCAACCCACCTGCCACCGCCAATTCTCCTCCATGAAACAGATGTTGCTTGCTCTGTGCTGCCAGATTTACAGTTAAGTGGCCAAAATCATTTAAATATTGATGAACCTTCATATTGATTAAGTTCATCTAAGATTGAATATTGGAGAACTTGCACTGTGGAGTGTATTCCAGTACCAATTCCCTATAATGCCATGATTTTGAAGCATTCCTAAAAATGGTTCTGGTCAGTATTGAGATCGAATAAATGTTATTGGATTACCCTGTGGGTACAACACATAAAGCAATTTTGGGCAAGATACGAGGTATTTCCTTTTATCCAACAAAATTTGAATTTCAAACATTTCTATACACACATGATCAATCCCGCTCAGTTTAATTTATAGTCTTGGCTACATTTATTAGATCGAAACCTTTCACACTTCTGCCTGCCAAGAATATTTTTGCTCCATTTGTTTCTTTCAATATTTTTATACAAGGTGACAAATTGAGAGGAAACGTTATGAGAGAGCCATAAGAGAGCTGTTGGAAAATGAAAAGCAGCTTCTGCGTGGATTTCATCAGAGGAAAGAAACTGCAGACAGCAGAAATAAGAACAGGTATTAAATGCGAGCCTTTAGTTAACGAATATGACAATGACTGTGTTTGAATTAGTCCCATACCTTGCTGTGAGAGCAAATAGCTGATCCTAAAAGCTTCCACGTGCCTCCTCTCCGGTCCATTCGCAACATGCGCAGTATTTGTAGAAAACGTAAGCTTCGCAGTGATGTTGCTACTATGTTCTGCAATGTCCCCACAGCAACAATCACCACAGAGCCAATCAGGACGATGATGTCTAGGCAAATATAAAAAAAAGTACTGGGATGTAAACAAAAGCTTGATTATATCCAGCCAACAAAACTTCAAGAATGCTTTAAATCAGATTCTTTGGAAGTCTGCCTCTGCCTTAGCTGAAGATCAGCTGGTAGTCCCGTCTCCCAGGAATCAAAAGTTTGCAGATTCAAGTCCCACTTCAAGCATTTGAAAGTAGGATATAGGCTGAAGGACTGCTGAACTGTCAGAGCTGAATTGCCTTTAAGGTAAACTGTTAAATCAAGGCCTGAGCTACCCTCTGAAAGGGATGCAAAAAATCCCATGACACTATTTTTGAAGAACGGAAAAGGAATTACTCTATGTCCTGGTGAATATCTAATCCTTAACACAATCACTAAATCGATTAAAGCAAGTAATAAAAACAGAAGTTGCTGGAAAAGCTCAGTGGGTCTGGCAGCATCTGTGAAGAAAAATCAGAGTTAATGTTTCGGGTCCGGTGACCCTTCCTCCAGGTCCTTCGGGTCACTGGGCCTGAAACGTTAACTCTGATTTTAATTCACAGTTGCTGCCAGCCCTGCTAAACTTTTCCAGCAACGTCTGTTTTTGTTCCTGATTTACAGCATCTGCCGTTCCTTCGGTTTTTATAAAGCAAGTAATATGTCAGGCGACCAAAAGCTCGGGATTATCTGTGCCGATTAAATGGCAACTAGGATGGACAACCAAGCAAGTAGGTCTTTCTGCAAACTGGCACAGGTACCAATGGGCTAATTGGTTTTATTCTGTGCTGTTACCATTCTGTGGTTCAACAAGACCCAGGAAATGAGGTCACGATGGACTGTAAACAGAAAACATTAATCAAATGGAGGCAGCAATCAACTCCAATGGTTACAGCAGTTCACCTTACTGCTATCAATGGATTGATTAGTGGTCCCACATCCCACTTCCATCTAAATGGATGTAGATATGCTGAAGGTCAACTAGGTTCCTATTTCAGTTTTGTTTTACAATTCAACTTTCTACCCAACCCAAATAAGAGTTGGCCATTCAGCATTCAGCTGTTTTATTATAGTTGGTGTATGTTATGTTGGGACAATGTTCCTTTAAGAGATAAGTCACACTTGTGAGTCATCAGCCAGGTTGCAGACTTGTGTTGAGCTGTTATAGAGTGCAAAAGCTACAGAATAAAACCTCTGTTGGGTTGCAGCTGAAGACAAGTTTGTATGTTCTTTCATTTTGACTGGAGCCTATAAACGTCCAGTACAGAGTGTTAGCCTCTTCCATAATTCAACATGATCATGACTGATCTTGTGCCTCACCACCATAGTCCCACTCTCACGCCATACCCCTTGATACCTTTAGCCTCTAGAGATCTATCTATTTCTTTCTTAAATATATTCAATGACATGGCCTACACAGCCACCTGTGGTAGGGAATTCCACAAGTTTGCTACCCTTTTTGTGAAGATAGATCTTAGTCCTAAATGGTCTCCCACATATTCTGAGATTGTGACCCCTTGTTCTGTAGCCCCAGCCATGAGGAACATCATCCCAGCATCTTGTCTGTTCAGCCCTGTTGGCATTTTACACATTTCAATGAGATTCCCTCTCATTCATCTAAACTCCAGTGATATAGACACACAGCTGACCCAATTCTAAAGAATTATGGTAGATGACATCCAGCACATCTGTCATTTCCAAGATCACCACGTTTAGCCCCCTGGGATAAAAGTAAGGATATTATGCTTTACTTGCACAGAGTATTGATGAGACCACACCCTCAATATAGTGTGCAGTTTCGGTCAATTTGTGCATATAAGTGGAAAGATGCAAAAGCATTGGAATCAGCTGGGAGGAGGTTTACTAAATCGATGCCTGGAGAGAGTGGGCTGTCTTGTCAGGATAGGTTGGAATAGGCTAGGCTTGTTTCCAAAGGAATTTAGAAGAGTGAGCGGTGAATTGATTGAAATGTATAAGATCCTGAATGGCCTTGACAGGGTGGATATGGAAAGGTCATTTTCTCTTGTGGGCCAGTCCAAAACTAGAGGGCACTGTTTAAAAATTAGGAGTCATCCTTTTAGTACAAAGATGGTCTCTGAGACGTTGTTCAACTTTGGAATTCTCTACCTGATAAGGTGGTGGCTTTTTTCTGGGAGGGTGGTGTTGCACATGTTTGAAGAGGAGATAGACAAAGTAATCATGGGTTATTAGGGGTAGATGAGAATGTGGAATATGAAACACAAACAGAGCAGGCTCAAGGAGCCAAATGGCCTAGTTCTGCTCCTTGAGTTCTCAGGAAGAGTCACTGGACCCAAAACGTTAATTCTGATTTCTTTCCATAGTTGCTGCAGACCTGCTGAGCTTTTCCAGCAATTTCTATTTTTGTTTCTGCCCCTGCTTATATGTTTGTATGACGGAGATTATAGGCCCTGGAAATTAATCAGCTTTCAATTCCATTCATTTCTCCAGCACTTTTTTTTTCATTCATGCTAATCTCCTTCAATTCTTTCTTCCCAATGGACTTTGATTCACTAGGCTTTCTGGGAAGTTATCTGTGAGTTTTTCCATGAAGATAGAACTAAAGTTTAGCTGTATTACCATTTCCTTGTTCTCTATATGAACTCTCCTGTTTCAGACTCTGAAGGGTCAATTTTAGTCTTCGTTAATTTTTTCTTATTATATTCTTTTACAAGTGCTTACGGTCTGCTTTTATGTTCCTTGCACATATTCCTTATTCTCGTATTCTCTTTCCCAAAATAAACTTCATAATCCTCTTTTGCTGAATTTGAAACTGCTCCCAGTCCTCAGGCTTGCTCCTTTTCTCTAGCAACTTAAATGACTCTTCTTTGGATCTGATATTATCTTTGTTTTGTTAGCCATAGTTGGGTCACTTTTCCTGTTGTGTTCTTTCGCTTGAAAGGAATGTGTAACACTTGAAATAGAGGGAGTCATTCCATAAGTGTTAACTATTATCTACCTACTGCCTCTACTGCAGGATCTAAGCGTTTCTACTGCCTAGGTAAAAACAAAATCTTTGTTGTAATGGCCACTTTTAAACAATTCATTCATTCATCTAACCCTAGCCTTAACCACACTGGCTCAGTCAGCATTAACTTTCCATCCCTAATTGTCCTTGAGAAGGTGGTGATGAGCTTATTTCTCAAACAGCTGCCGTCTATTTGGTTAAGTACATCCAAAATGAGTGTGTGTGTGTGTGTCTGTCTGTCTGTCTGTGTGTGTGTGTGTGTGTATGTGTGTCTGTCTGCCTGTCTGTCTGTGTGTGTGTGTGTCTACCCGTCTGTCTGTCTGTGTGTGTGTCTGTCTGTCTGTGTACAGAATGAAGATATATTTCCAGTTAGGGTGATGAGTGGCTTAGAGGGACGTTGCAGGTGCTTATGTTCCATGTATCTATTCCCCTTGTCCTTCTAGATGGTAGTGGTTATGGTTTTGGAAGATGCTATGTAAGGAGCCTGGGTGAATTTCTGCATTGCATGTTGTGGATAGTATACACTGCTGCTGCTGCTAAGCATTGGTGGTGGAGGGTATGGATGCTTGTGGATGTGATGCCATTGAACTGGGCTGCTTTGTCCTGGATGATGTCATTGAGTGTTGTTGGAGCTGTATCCTTCCATGCAAGTCAGGAATATTCCATCACACTCCTGATTTTGCATTGTAAGCGGTGGACAGATTTTAGGGAGTCAGAAAGAGGAGTTAACCACTGCAGGATCCTTAGCCTGTGCTCCTGTATACACAGTATTTAAATGACTAGGCCAGTTCAATGTCTAGTCAATGAAAACCTACAGTATATTGACAATGGGGAATTCAGTGGTAGTAATGCCACTGAATGTCAAGCAGTGATGGTTAGATTGCTAAATGAAAACTGTTGATGGTTTAAATAGATCCATTTGTTTTTCAGAGAGGATAATCGTTTTCCTAAGGCCAATTCAAGTGAGTTGTTTATTTTCATGATTTATAAGCTTTTCAAATAAGAAAATATTTTTCCAGTGCCTGTGCAAGTGATGTTTGTTTAGTTTGAGAAATGTATGAGCTTTCAAAGACTTGTGAAGTCTGTCATAAAGTGGATACCAGGTAAGTGGCTGAAGACAGTAGGGATGGTGAGGGAATGACGTGGGTCGACGGGGTGAAGGGTGCAGTGGTGATATCATCATAGAACCCCACTGGAAACAGGCCATTCAACCCACCGAAGAGCATCCCATCCAGACCCAACCCCCTAAACCTGCATTTCCCATGACTAATGCACCTAACCTACAACGTCCCTGAACACTATGGGTAATTTAGCATGTCCAGTCCACCTAAATTGCACATCTTTGGACTGAGTAGAATGAACCCATCTGAATTGGGCTAATATTTCTGAGAAAAGCAGCAGCCCTTTTAACCTGGCTGCCTCATCTTTGACCTGCCTCCTTGTTGGGCCTCCCCCAGGGCCTGTCCCAACCCCCAGGAGCTGTAGCACTGCTGGTATTGAGGCAGAATTACAAGATCAGGAAAATTCTTGATACCCGATTCCCGCCTCCAAGATGAAAATCATGTCTATATCTCTGTAACCAGTCAGAACACTGAATTGTTAACCAGTAGCACGGAATCAAAACCTGGAACAGCCAGGATATTTAGTGCAAAAAGTGAAATACAGGGAGTTCTCCTATAACGCATGTTCCAGCAACATGAATTGGCTATAACATGATTGACAAATAGGGGAACAGTATTTGTAAAACATAAACTCGTGTTGGCTATAATGTGATTCCATCGAGTATGGATTGTATGTCATAAACCTCAAATATAATGTCACACAGAGAACAACTGTCTTATTAGGAAAATATGTGAAGTCTTACTTTGAAGAGTTTATGCTGAACACATTAAATGCATCAGCATTATATAAAAAGGTCAGATTTCTCTGCTTCACTTATCTGAAAATCAATCCAGAAGTCAGATGGAATGTCAGGTCAGATCAGCATTTAAATGTAGGAGGGAATTTTACTAAAAATGGCTGATGTGTCAATTTCGGGAGTGTTTCATGGAGGGTTGCTGGCTGTGAGCTCTATCCAACACAATTTTGCACATTTTTTCCTTTATTCATTCACGGGATGGGGGCGTCGCTGGCTAGGCAGCATTTATTGCCCATTTCTAATTGCCCAGAGAGCAGTTAAGAGGCAACAACAGTGTTGTGGGTCTGGAGTCACATGTAGGCCAGACCAGGTAAGTATGGCAGATTTACTTCCCTAAAGGGCATTCGTGAACCAAATCGACAATGGAATCATGGTCCAGATTTTTTTTAAAAATTCAAATTCCAACTTGGATTCAAACCTGGTTCTACAGAATATTATCTGGGTCTCTGCATTAACAGTCCAGCAATAATACCACTAGGCCATTGCCTCCCTCTTTTGGCTCATACTCGCACTATCATACAGTACTGACCATTGCTGGCGTTTGCGGTGACAGAACTCTATTTAAAGCCCAGCTGTCACTTAATTGCAAATACAAGGTCAGATTCGTAAATGTATTGCCTCTTTGCAGCATCACCTGTCTGATAAACTGTCATATAACTTCAGCTGTAAGAATGAAGCTACACAGATGAAGAAGAATTTTGGCAAATATAACTTTTATGTGTCCTTTGTGCCCCTAACCCTGCTTTTCCCATAGGACAGAATAGAGTTTTGTCACCGCAAACCCTAGCAATGGTCAGTACTGCATGATAGCGCGAGCATGATTTCTATAGCACGATTTTCTATTACGTGGTGTTGTGCTGAAACACAACAATCGTGTTATAGCAGAACTCCTTGTAAGTAGAAACAAGGAAGGAGGAGAGAAGGAAGAATGGAAGAAATAAAGAATGGAAGGTAGACCTAAACATAAAGGAATGTAAAAACATAATTTTTAAAAAGAAAATCTCCAACAATATTCAAAATCTGAAGAACGTATATCACAATTATATAAAAAAAAAAATTTCGGTGCCAGATACCTTGTTTGCCCATAATTAAAATTTATCCCCTTGTTTAAAAGAGTACTTATTTGGGATGTACAAGCCTCAAGATTTGCTTGTGAGTTTGGGGTGTAAATAGCAGCTAAGCCCTGCAACTTTATAACCATCTGTGTATTTTAATATTTTAATAGATTTAATCATCATTACACAACTTCTGAAGTGTTTCAAGGACCGCAACTTCCCCCACTTCAGTGATTGAAAACGCCCTCGACAGCATCTCTTGCATTTCTCGCACCTCTGCCCTCGTAGCCCCTCCCAACAATAAAAACAAAGACAGAATCCCCTTGTCCTCACGTATCACTGCATTAACCTCTGGATTCAGCGCATCATTCTCCGCCACTTCCGCCACCTGCAATCTGACCCTAGTACGAAGGATATATTTCCCTCCCCACCCCTATCTGCCTTCCGGAGGGACCGCTCTCTCCGCGACTCCCTTGTCCACTCCACACTCCCCACCAGCCCCACCACCTCCGGCATCTTTCCCTGCAACCGCAGGAGGTGCTTCACCTGCCCCTACACCTCCCCCCTCACCTCCATCCCAGGCCCCAAAAAAACCTTCCACATTAAACAGATGTTCACCTGCACATCCACTAATGTGGTCTATTCTATCCGCTGTTCCCGATGTGGCCTCCTCTACATCGGTGAGACTAAGTGGAGGCTCGATGACCGCTTTGTGGAGCACCTGTGCTCGGTTCGCGACAAACGACAACACCTTCCGGTCGCAAACCACTTCAACTCCCCCTCCTACTCCCTGGACAACATGTCCATCCTGGACTTCCTCCAGTGTCACAACGATGCCACGCAGAAACTGGAGGACCAGCGCGTCATATTCCACCTTGGGAGCCTACAACCCAATGGTCTCAATGTGGACTTTACTAGCTTCAAAATCTTCCCACCCCCGGCCTCATCCCATGACCAACCCTCCCTCTCATCCCCGCCTCCTTGACCTGTCCGTCTTCTCTCCCACCTATCCGCTCCTCCCACCGCTACCTACCTGCACTCCCCTATCACCATCCCACCTACCTTCCCCAGCCCGAACCCCACCTCTCTATTTATTTCAGAGCGCCCTTCCCCTCCCCCATTTCTGAAGAAGGGTCCTGACCCGAAACGTCAGCTTTCCTGCTCCTCTGATGCTGCCTGCCTTGCTGTGTTCCTCCAGCTCCACACTGTGTTACTTCTGAAAGAGTAGGGCATCTTGAATACAAAATTCCTGATTGACACATTCAAGTGTACACATTTATTAACCAGAAGTTGCTGTCCAACTTACATATTAATAACAGTGAGCACTGTAATTCTCAGCATTATTTTGTTACCATACAAATCCTAAGATGCAATGCAGATGCAGTATTTATTAGCATCACCTCTGTGCTATATATCCACTATAAGCTGAAATATAAATTGGACTGCTGTACAGTTGAAATACCAGGAGAGTTTTGCAATTTGAAACAAAAACATGGGTTGTGTGGTGTATATTTTTAGCTGTACAAGACAATGTTGCTTTTCCAACCAGTGAGGGGTATACTTTGAGGCTGAATGGCACCAAGAGTCTTTGAGTTAAGGAAATTCAGACTGATGACAGCACTTTGGTTGGGCTGCAGTTTGTTAATAAGTTTGTAAGTGCAAGAGGAGCCGCAGACATCCAGAGCCTGCCAAGTGAAAATATCTATTACTCCATCTCACTCCTGCGTGGGGAAAAGTCAGAAAAACCAAGCAAGTGTAAAAGAATCTAGGTTTCCTGGTTCAATTATCAAAGTGAAGAATGACCATTGCTTTACAAACAATAGCGTGTCCACCAGTGTTAGAAATCAAGAGGAACTGTGTGAGACAATCTAACCCATCCTTAAAATCTGGACTTTTGATCTTTGGAGTTTTGCTTAGCCTGTCTACATTCTTTTCCCACCCCTAATATTTGTAACAAATTAGCTGTCTTTTATTTATTATCACCTATATTTTGTTACAAAATATGTTGAAAAGTGTTGTATAGTGTCACCTCTCTCCGGCACCATCTTAAAACACAGAAAAATAAACCAAAACATAGAATATAATGTCAGAAAAATAAAGAGGAAAGAAATCACAAATGTGAATGTGTACATATGTTTTTGGAGTTTTTGAATGGGTATAATTTAAGTCACATACTAGTAGATTAGAAATCCTTTCCTAATGTTAAAGGTAAATGTGTTACAATAAATGGTCATTTTCTGTGACAAAAACAAAGTTGCTGGAAAAGCTCAGCAGGTCTCGCAGCATCTGTGAAGGTGAAAACAGAGTTAACGTTTCGGGTCCGGTG